ATGCTTATATTAAGAAACCAGAACTATATGATAAACTACATTATTCGTATTAAAAAATAAAATAAAATCGGTCCGGAAAGGGCGGACGTCCCGTTCATCTGTAGTTCACGGGGTTGGAAGAGCCTCCAGTGGTTTCTGGTCAGTATTTCTTAGCAACGTATAAGTCAGAGAAAATCGTGGGGAAGGACCGCGCTAATCTTTGGATGAACTTGAGAAATGGAGGGCAATGAGGCCAGGCGCGTGCTGGGCTTCGCGCCCAATTCACGCCCTAGGCCCTCTGAGGTACCTTAATTTTCATCCCTCTTCTTCTTTTTCTCAGCAATTTCAGTGCTGTGTTTTGATAAGGTAATTCATAGAACTTTTGGGTTTGGGTTCTTCTTTAGCGATTGCCAAATCGAATTGACTCCCAAAAGTGAACTGAATTTCAAATTCTAAGTTCAATTCTTCTTTCATTTGAGTTTCGTTTTCGTACGGGGTTGGGCGATATGACGATCATGAGTGTAGTGTTCAGTCCTAGTCTAGTGTTTGGCATATAAGCAGATGTTTTGTAGGTTGATGCTGGCGTTCTAATTTTGACAGTATTTATTAATTAGGTTAAAGCAGCCTACAAAAAGAAGATATGGGAGGCTCATCCTGATCTGTTTCCGGCCCATGAAAAGCCTCAGGCAGAGTCCAGGTTCAAACTGGTGAGATACATAGTTTCTTATCATAACTCTTGGCGTCGCATGTTTATGTGGAAGGTTTTCCTTTCATTTCTCCTAATGGAATACACGTCAGTGTAACATCATCCCTGCTTGCTAGTTCTGATGTTTAGACGGATTAGACTTAAGTTCCTTAGTGTTTGTCTATCCCAGAAATAACAAAAATCCTGGGCGTTTGATATCAGGTTTTTCAATAAGCAAATGGCGAGAAAATTTTAGACCCAGTCATTTGGCGCTGAGGTGTAAGAAATAGTTAATATGTAGTTACAATAAGATTAGTTGAAAAGAAACGATTGAAAACTCTTAAAATTTGCACCTAAGATTTTCTCTATTTAGATTTTATGAACATGTTACAATAGCCTTGCGGAAGACAGAGTTCGAACTGGATGCTTAAAGCTGGTTTATGGCTGTAAATTATCTCTTAAGTCACTCCAGCTTGGTTTTGGAGAGACATATTACTTGATATGTTATTTAGTGATTGAATGAAGATGATGATCATGTATCCGGCTTGGATATTTATGCTGAGGCATGATTTGTTATTTAGTGATTGAAACTTCACACTGAACACTGTCAACATACGGAGAGTATATTTTCTCTTCCAATCCTCATTATTCAAAGCTTATTCCCTCTTTTACTCAAACCCAACACCCCCCCCATCCAAAAAAAAAAAATCTCTGGCCTTCATTTTAGCTTGCATCAAGTTGGTGTAGCTGTGTACTAGTAAAGCTGAAAGCACTTACTTACTGAGGATTTTTATACCATCTTCCACTCGGAAGTGTTAGACTTGGAAACATACAATAATATCCCTGTCAGCTGCTGATTGACCCACGAAGCATATAATATTCGGCACATTAATGGGAGTGACAAAAAGTTTTTGTTTCACTGCAGATTTCCCAAGCTTATGCATGCCTGCTGTCTGGTAATCCTCCTGCCCACTGTATAAAGTATCCCAAGATGACATGGTTTGCGAACTCCTAAATGGATTACAAATATTACTGAAGATGTTTAATGGGACCAGCTGATAGATAGTTTCAGAAATTACTAGACTGTTAATTTTCTGATTTCAGGATAAAATGATGGTCAATATCATTTATATTGTCTGTGTCCCCTCATGATTTTGCACGTGTCCTTGATATTGGGGAAAGGATCAGCCATTTTTAGGCCTTTTCATGCTGGAATTTCAACAAATGTGCTTAAACCGCATTTACTGACCAAGCTAATAGACATAGGTTTATTTCACTATATTTGATTAGTCTGTTATCGTTTTTGCCAGGCTTCCTGAAAAGCTTTCTGTTTTCCTGGTAGTCTGCGGTAAAAAGATGTATTCTTCCATTCTGATCCTTTTGTCCTTTTTTTTCCCCCCTGGTGATAATCCTTTTGTCTTATTAGCTGCTGCTGTTGGTGACATTGCAACGAGTACAATAGAGGTCCTTGAGTTATAAAGCTAGATAAGTTGGCCAGGAAGTCGTTAGTCTGGGATCATAAATAATTGTTCAAGATTAAGCAAAATAGTTAAAAGACATATATAACATGTCCATTATTAGTTTTTCATAATACCTCTCACCCTAACATAAGATCACTTTCGTATTTTATACGCTCCATGTGTGTGTGTGTATTTGTGTGCGTGCGTGCCCTGCCAAAAGTGCTGAATACAAAGCTTGTTACAGGTGGAAGAGGAGATGCTCTAAATTCAGGTAAATTATCATCATGTTCCTCCAGGTGTATGTATTACCTTTTTTTTATTTTTTGGCCTGATTATGTTTTGAAAGCAACATGATTGTCGTTTAGCTGAGTATTCAAGAGTCGTGAGAACTGGAGTCCCAAGGGCTACTGGAGGGAGGAAAAATCATCCTTTAATTAAACTACCCTTTATTTTTCTTATTCTGGGAACGGCTGCACTTGGAGGTGTAAATGCTGCAAGGTGATTGCCAATCTCAACCTTACAGCTGATTATTTCTCATTTTGCTTGCCTATACAATTAGAATATTAGATTACACAAGTGTTGATCTGTTCGCAGGGCTTACAAAAAGCAAAAGGAAGACTACCCTTCGCACAATCCATTTCTTCCTTGACGCCTAGCAAAGACCATCATGCTTTTTCGGGGATTACACGTTTGTGTGTCTTGTAGAGGTGTCCTGGAGCTAGTGACTTTGTTGGAGGCAGAATGACTAAGGTCTCTTGCCTTGTCTTCTGATACAGGTTAATCCTTCTGATTAGGGGTATTCTTTCTAATAAACAATAATAGAATGACAAAGATAGAGGGGAAAAAAAATTTAAAGATTGTTCTAAATACAATATACTACCTCCTGCACTTAATATAAGGACTAGTTGGAGGGTTGAGTTTGGTCTTAAATATAAGACTTTAATTCATTTTATCTTTTAAATTTGTATCTTTTTCTCCCCTAAAACATCTTTTTTTTAATAATCTAAAATATTCTTATTCATTACAAAAGATTCCAATGCACATAACCAGATATGGTAATTTAGGAAGTCTATGCATATTTATTATAATTAATCACCTTAACTAAATTTTTTAATCTTTTCAAATTAGTTATTTAGTTTGTATCTTAAGGGTCAAATGTAGTTGTTTAGAGGTAGTTTAAATTTGGAAAAAAAACAGTTTAGAGGAGAGGAGCAGTCATCTCATCATGATTCGCGTAGTTTTTTATTATTCTTCTGGTATTTAATATAAGACCTAATTAGAAAGTTAATATTGGTTACATATGGAAGATCTGTGTAAAATGTTTAATAATTTTTTCTAAATTAACCCTATTGATATTTTCTCAGTAGGAGGAGAGGAAAAATTAAGAAAGATACTTAAAGTGTTTTAGAAAAATATATAATATTAACTAATTTAACTAATATTTTTATATACTCAAATTAATTGATTAGATGGGTACGAGATAATCCTTAAAATTATGGTTGACAGTGATCAAAATTTTTACTATTACTAAATAAAGGCGTTTGTGGGATTAGCCTAACCAAATCAAACCATAATTGTAAGGACAAATTTCTTAACAAAAAGGAAAACAGCAAAAATTTGATACAAGTTGATCATGACTCTACCATAAAAACAGAAGCTTTATTTTCCTTTTAAGTTGGGGGTCTAAGATTGCCTCCACTTCCAATCTCAAACAATCGTTAAGGCTGTGCAGGATTTCTTTCCCTTCAAAATAAAAAAGAAAAGTAACGATATTAGATTTTTTTTATAATAAAAATAACATTTAAGTCGCAACAAATATTTTTTTATGACAATTAAATTTCAAACTTTTTTATTATATAAGATGTATTCCAAATATCAATTTAAATAAGAGTTAAGGTACAAATTACCACTAAAAGGTTTCGCTTGGGCACCCAAAAATTTTTTTGAACACAAATTTGCTTTGAAAATTTAAAATCATAATAATACTACTACCTAGGTCCTTAATATAAGAACTAATTTGATTTTAAATGCAATTATATGATTTTTTTTTTTTTATAGTCATCCTTGTAGTAATTATAGTAGTTATAAATGATAAAAGTTCAATCAAATGATAATTTTAGTACAAATATTTTAAAAAAAACAACACTGAATTATTACAAATAACTAACTTAAAAATTTTCATTAATTTATTCAGATTAGTCAACTAATTCTCATATTAAAAATCAGAAATAAAACTTTTTATCATTAAAAATGTTAACAATTAAAATCAATATTTTAATAGTTAATATTAATTTTTTAATAATTAAAGCAAAGTTACGATTTTAAACTTTTTGATATCTAAGTGCTTAACACTCATAAGTTAAAACTTTCAAAACAAATTTACGTCTCAATTCTTTAAATAATTACATATATGAATTTTAGTCGCAAATCACCATACCCCCAATTCAAAATATTCAGATCATTTAGATAACCGATCATTGTGAGAAGAAGATACTATAAAAAACCAGAGAGAGAAAAAAATTAGGGAACTGCGCAAACGGAGCTCAATGGACGTTCTCAGTTAACACAACATAGCAACCAAGTGTAGAACACATCTCGAAATTACGTTCAAGCAGATTTATCAAACCTACGTATTGGGTCCGGATCGAGGCACCTCAAAATGCAGAGTTCGTCCCCAACCCTAGTGCATATGAATAAATGGAAATTAAAACGCCGGCTGTGTGTGCCGTGTTACCAAGCTCCGGGCCACTTGATTTTGATCTTGGTCGCCAAAATATAGCAGAGAGCAGATGCACAAGTCTAGCAACGTCGGATTTATAAAAGGAAAAACGGGAGAACAGAAAGCTTCAGGGAACATATCTTCCATGAGCAGACCATATGTTATGTAGAGCAATAAAAAACATAAGCCAGCAGAGGCTGCCGATTAGGGATCTCCAGCCACAAGATGGAATTGTGCAGACAGTATAAAGCCTAACGTCATACACGATTTGCAGAATCGTCGTCCATCATGATTTTCTCTAATGTTATTTTAGTGGAGGTGCCCTATTCCCCACCATAAGATCCAATAAACCATTAATATGGCTTTATGTTTGTGATTTGTAATTTGTCATACAGCCAACTTTCTGCAAGCCAAACAAATTACTTTAACTCTGGAACACTTCCTGTATCATCTCCACTCTCATTAAGCGTAATAGTTATCGGCTGCCATCCAGACCGATGAATTATAATCCATTTCTTGACAGTGATGATCATATTCAAGATCTGAAGTACCTCTCCTAACATAAGCTCTTTAAGGCATTCTTTCCTTAGAATTAAAGATGCTTCATATCTAATAAAAATATAATAAAGAAGAAATACAAACACATCAGTGGTAAAGATACAGGAACCTTACATATGTAAATTTGCGAAAATAAAATCTACCTGCACTGGGAAGACAACATTGCTGATCGTCCAGATGATGAAGCAAGGAACTCTTGTATTCGATCCCACGTTGTATTTGGATACTGACTAACATTTCCACATATAATGTTTACACAATTCCATAGTTTCTCGTTTCTACCAACATAAAAATTTAATGCACCTAGTCTCTGTTTTATTACCGCATTTAGCTTGATTGCACAATCTAAAGCCTTCTTGACATCAGTGGTTCGATATTTCGAATCTCCATACGAAATGCAATCAGTTATATTTGCTTCAGTTGGCATAATCTTTTCAACCTTCAGAGTGTTTAAGGCTAGTAGAATAGCACCCACGAGGCCTCGCTCATACTCAGAAGGTGGTGGAAATCCCTCAACTCCCAAGGTAATATTCTTAGAACTGGTATTGGCAATTCCAGTGACGGAGGGAGTAGGCATATGTTTGGAACCACGAGGATGCCTCAGGTTCAAATTCTCACAATGAAATGCTTGGACACATGGTGGGTCGTAGCCTGCTGGGGGTGCATGGAAGCTATGTAGATTAGGAGATTGAGTAGTGCTTGGATTAGAATCTTCTCTGGTTCGCTGATGAGAAAGAGTACTTTTGACATTGTTAGGATATGGAGAATCATGTGGCTTAGGTATATCATGAAATGAATTTGGGGCCGTAGACAATTTAGATCCAGCTGAATAAGAAGGGACGGGTTGAAATGTTCGAGCATGGGAGTCAGGAAGAGGCAAATTCGGTCCAGACACGGGTTGTATATGAAGGTTGTTTGACCTCAAAGAACCATGATAGAGATCCTGGGAAATTTCATTAGAGTTGCTCCTTTTATTTTCTGAGCCATCTTGGTTGCTTGGAAAGTTAGGAGTAAACCTACCGTTTGGGACTACGGGATTGCTACTAACAAAGAATTCGTGTGGAGCTTTTCGGAACAGCTTCACCGGTGACTGTGCTAGTTTAAGAGGATCATTGTTCTTACCCTCTGAAACTGTAACAGGTAAGCTTGAAGAGCTTGATAGATTGGGTTGATTGTCAGCTTTCAAAACATATTTTACTTTGTGTTTCAAATCACCAACGCTTCTAGTAGTACGGTTATTTTGACTGCCCATGTCAAGGTTTTCAGAATTGAGAACCAGTGGCTGACTCATTTGATTTGGCTCAACAACCGGGTTTTCCATCCTCTCAAAATGAGAGACATAGTTACCGCTTGCAAGGCAGGATGATTCGCCACTTGATAGTGGGGCTCCTCCAGATAAAAGGCTCGTCCAGAGCCAAACACATTTTGCTGCTGCAACTAGAGGAGCTGATGCTTTCGGTGGTTGTGCTAGAAGAATGTTGTATTTTCTCAGGCGCAACTGATGCAGAGCATTAGAGAAATCCCTGTCTCCAGAAATTAGCAAATAATTTGCGGGAGCAGGGTTGTCTACCGCCCATAACAACATGTCAACTAGAATTTTCTTATCACTGGCATCTTTCACACCTGTAACAACTTCACAACGTCATATTAACACCAAAAACATATGCAGCTTTGCCATCTTCATCATACTTAAGCGATTACCTTCATGCTTGAATGGTTACATTACCAGACCATACAAAAGCAGCACTTATGTCAAAACTCTTTGACTAAACCAATGCCCTTATAACATGGGAAGATGGGAATACCAATATGTGGACAGTGAATGCTACATATCACAAATAACAGGAACATTATACTTCTTTGAAAAAATGGTGCAGAGGGATTGTAGATTCCACGGTGACAACATTTTTGTGGCCATATAAACATTGGTCTATTCAAATTCACGGATGAGAAGGGAAAGACAAATAGCGGGAAAAAAAAATCTAAAAACTCAACGCAAGTAATGGCAATGAAACCGATATCCACAAATAGCACATATTAGGTATTTGTCCCGAGCTTTACAGCAATAAAAGCATGCTGCGGGCGGCAGGGTAAAAAGGTACAAGAAAGAAGAGTTGAGAATAGAAGGAAATGAATACCAGTTGGAATGTGGTTAAGAGAAATCCCGGTGCTAGAAAGTGCTTTCTGAACGAAGGATGGGATCCGACTTGTGTCGCCGTAGGCGGAGATGGAGACGGGACCACGATAGTTCATATTGACGAGTGCAGAACTAATATTTTGAGCAATGGCGTGAGGGTCGCAGCCCTTTGGAACTTGGCAGTTCTCAATGTCCCACCACACAGAGATCTTCGCTGAGACGTATTGCGGCTCCGCTCTTCCGCTACCGGAGGCCTCCGGCGCACAAACGATGACATTGCGGTCGTTTTTGCTCACGTCTCCAGCCATTGGCACGCGCAGGTGGATCGATCACAACATGTATGCGATGGATTCACTTTAATCTCTGAACCCTCTGCAACCTTTAAATGAGAAGACTGGCGAAGTTGGGCAAATCAAAAAGTTCTGGTTGAGAGGCCCTGAGAGGAGGGTTTTAGGATCGAAGGCGGCAACTGCTCATTTTTTAATGTTCGAAAATATAACCAAAGGAAAGGCCAAAAAATATAACAAAAAAAAATTACAATAAGATCTTACATAAAAAATTAAATATAAAAATATCTATTAAAATTATCAAATTATTTTGAAATCTCAAAAAAATTTATTGTAAAAAATTGTACTTATTTAATTGTCAAATTGCCGTGTCTTTTTTATAAAGTATGTATTAGTAACTAAAAGTGCAGTCGTTAACAACTTAAGATGTAACGATTAACAATTATTATGCCAGATATTGACAACTTATGTATTATATTTTTATGATGCGCTAAGAAAATATGTTGTACCTTAAGTTGTTAATGACTGTTCTTTCAATTATCAATGCATACTTAAAAAAATAAAGACAATTTGATGATTAAACAAATAAAATATTTTGCAATAAGATCCTTTGAGACTTCAAAATAATTTAATAATTGTGAGAGATTTTTTTGTATTTAATTCTCTTAAGTATGATCTTATTACAATTTTTCCTATAACAGAACATACTACTCCCTCCGGTACATTTTTTTTTTTTAGCGTCTAATGCTCCGTTTGATATGAGAAAATTGAAGGGGAGAGAACGGAAAAATTTTGTAACTTTAATTTGAAAATTAAAAAATAGTTTTTCTTACTCTTTTATGTTATATTTTATTTTTATTAAAATTTTATAACTCTATTATTTTATTTTATTTAATTGAGTTCATTAAAAAAAAAAATTCCCTTCCTTCTTACCAAACACAAGGTGAGTTTTTTTTTTTGGGTGGAAAGGTAAGTATTTAATGCTTATTCTTACATTCAGTTAATTATATGTTTTATTTGTTCTAATTCTGTTGCTTTTTTTTTTTCATTCTTTCTTCCACCTACTCTTTTTTATAAAGGATGATATTTTTATGTATTTATTATTTTTAACCAATTTATTAATCTATATGATTTAATTATTTGCATCCTATGAAGAGAAACAGAGACGGTAACAATAATCAAATGTTTTTTTAATAGAAGAGCGTTAATATTGTCTAGAATATTTAAGGATGCAGAAATTCAAAAATGGTCAATGTCAATCATCGTCAACATGTATATGAAAAAATGGAAGGCGGGGAACAGATTACAGATGGCACCGACTAACAGAGAAGTGGGGGAAAAAGGGGAAGAAAATGATCAATAGGCTTCCGCATAATATGGTCAAATATGAAATCTGGCACTAAGCTAAAACCATAACAGATGACACAGAGACCAGAACACTGACACCAACAACCATTTTTCTCTGTCAAACTGAGCAACAGCGTGGCTTTATCGTCATCCTCGTCGCCATCGTTATTTGGATTCAATATCATCGGTCAGGCAAAATTTGAGCATCGATAGGTTCAAACTTCAAAGGGAGAAATAAAATGAATCACTCTGTCGATATAATTTTGTGCACTTTACAAAAAATTAAACAAATTATTATTTCGGCGCATGGCGATTTCAGCGGCCAGTGGATTGGATTTAAGGTAAGGGGGGAGCACAAGCGCAGAGCAGCAGTGACAAGTGACAAGCGAAGCAGAGATGGACGTATCCATGTAGCAACCACGCGATGATGCGGGTGCAGGGGACTTGTCATGTTTGTAGTTGAATGAATGGATAGCCTAAATTACCCAGTGCCAATGCACAGACAATTGAGATCTTTACATTTCACACGATTTGACTGCTCTTAGCTACTTGTCAGTTTCTCTTTGCGTTCATTCTGTGGGGTGTTTCATGGAAATTTTGGTATTGTGAAATTAAGTTACTCCCCCAGTCCTTAATATAAAATTTATTTAACTAATTTGATTAGATTTAAAAAGTTAAGTAAGTTAGTTAATTATAAGAAATGTGATACTTTTTTTCTAAAATATCATAATCATCTTTCTTAATATCCCCTCTTTCTCTTCTACTTAATTATGATTAAAAGAGTATCCATAAGGATAATTTAGAAAAAAATTGATAAATATAAGAAATGAGTCTTATATTTAGGACCAAAACCAACTCAACAATTTGGTCCTATATTAAGGATCGGAGGAGTATTAAAGAGTGAGAGCTTGTATACATACCACCTCCAGTCCTAAATATAAGAACTAGTTGACTATTTTGAGAATATTATGAAATAAGTTAAATTAATTATCTGTAATAAATAGATGTTATCTTTTCTAAAATATCCTTGTCAATCAAGTACATTGGTTAGAACTACTATTATTACAACAACTATCTTTAAAAAAAATAAATAAATATGAGAGATAAGATTAATTGAAGTCTTATATTTAGAATCAAAATAAAAGTCATACGAGTTCTTATACTAGGGACCGGAGTTAGTATTATTTTATCTCATATTCATTTAATTGTTTTATACGACCCTCGGTCTTTAATATAAAAGCTACTTTAACTTTTATTTTTGTCATAGATATAAGATTTCAATTCACTCTGTCTCTCGCATTTATCTATTTTTCAAGGTAGTACTTAGAATAATAATAGTTATAGCTAGTATACTTAATTGTTAATGATATTTAAAAAAATAACACATAGTTGTTATAAATAGCTAATTTAATCATTTTTTAAATCTATTTAAATTAATAAATTAATTCTTATATTAAGAATAGGAGTTACTACTTTTATTAAATCCTTCTTTTAGGGATACCTCGTCAATTCTCAACTTCACTACTTTTATTAAATCCTTCTTTTAGGGATACCTCGTCAATTCTCAACTTCAGAAACTTAAGCATGCATTCTGTCTCACGTAGAGTCAACGTCTCGTTGACTGTCTCGGGGCCTCCCAATGGAACAGTGGAGAGTGTTTACGCGGCTTTTGGTGGCCTCGTGGGCCCCCGTCGTGCGAGACAGTATGGGCAAAAGCCACAAAGTATGGCAATGATACACAGCCCACATACAATTTCTCCAACCGAAGGCGTGGAGTTAGTTTTCTGTAATATGATAAATTGATACTACCTCTCGTCCTAATTATAAAAGTTGGTTAATTAATTTGAAAAGATTAATAAAAGAAACTGAGTTAGTTATTTATAATAAATAGGTGTTATCTTTTCTAAAATATCCTTACTAATCAAGTGTATTGGTTAGAACTATCATTATTAGAAAGACTATCTTAAAAAAATACATAGATATTAGAGACAAAGTGGATTAGGATTTAGGATCTTATTTAGGATCAAATAAAAATCAACAAGGTCCTATATTAAAAACTGGAGGTAGTGTTTGAATTTTGTCTGAAAGAGGCGATCATATTTAATATTTAATAGTGTATCAGATAAAATTGTTTTTAATTAAAAAAAAAAAGATACCTGTGTTTAAAAAAAAAAACACTTTTTTTTAGCAGATTCAGCGGTTCAAGATAAATCTTATTATATCTGTGTCATTGTTTCCCATTAAGCAAGAATGGGCTAAAATTGTGGATGTGTTTGGCATATCAGAAGAAATTGGCGTCCAATTCGATCGTGAGCCAGAAGTAATACTCATATACCATGTTATTGGATAAAACAGGTACGCGGTCACATCAGAAATAATAGCATGCAACAGTTAATAATTATGGGACAATATTCTCATCAAAAGGCACTCATTCGAAGACTCACGACAAAATAAAACATAAAGCAGTGAACAAAATATTTTCATTAGTAAGCCAGCAATCATCATATTCTCATTCTTTTTTTTTTTTACTAATGCCATTATATTCTCATTCAAAAACATTCGCCTCAATTAATCAGTTTTATTTTACCATATCAAATGAAATCTTGAGCACGAGACGGTCACTTTGATCCGAGGGCACGTGGGGAGAGGCGGGCGGGCTGCCGATCTCCAGATCCATCCTCCGACACTAGATCCGACGTCGCCATCAGGAATTAGTGATACTGATACTACCCGACAGTAGGAATTAAGCGGTGCCCAACTAATGGGCGCACGACGGGATCCATGAAAGCTCTACAGTGGTTTTGGTTTAATGCGCCGTTCATTATTTGATTTGCATAGGAATTATTGCTGAGGTTATTTAACAATGGTTGCATGTGGTGGCCAACCAAAACGATAACACTGCTAATAACAATAGCCATGGTTGCAGCTGCACATAGGTTAGCTCTGATCTGCAAGGGATTTCGATTTCCGCACGTCTCAGGAGATCGTGACACGTGTCTATTTTTTTTTTTTTTGGGGCATGGTTGGTATGGCATTCTCTTGTAAATAATTTAAGATAAAAATTAGCCTGCAGATAAAATCAGAGACATTATGAGCTGGGGTTTGAACTTTTCATGGTTTTTCAAAAGGGAAAAAAAAAACCTTTAATGAGATTTAGGGATCGCGTAACCCCGTGGTCATGGGATAAGATGGGCAGTTTTTTAAAAAATAAATAAATAAAATGGCTTAACTTTACATTCTTCGATAACTAAGTTGTTCATTTAAATAAGATGAATCTGTTAAAAATTATTGTAAATTTCATATAAGTGATTTTTTTCAACTAAAGAAAAATCTCATAACGGCAATTGTTATGAGATTAGTTGTACCGTTTATCAGGCTTTTTAACGACTAGATTATTTATATGACGTTTCACGATAATTTTCTCTGTGAAAAATATAGAAATACGAGAACACTTTTATTCCCTTGAAAAATCATGATTTTTCACTTAAGCAAAGTCAATGCGAAAATCCATGTTATCTTACCTCTTTTTTAAGACGAGTATTGTCCGCTGACTATGTTTTTTGAATTGCATATACAGGCGAGATCGATCTAATATGACGAAAAAACATTTTTTTCTTATTGGTCTTACCGCTTTAATTTATTATTGTGAAAATCATGACGTGCGTAATAGTTAAGTAATCTGGAAAACACAAAAAAAAAA